TTTTCGAGATGAAAGTTTATGCAAATTTTTAAAAGAGATTTAATTTTTAATGCTTCTGTTTATATAAGAACTATTAATGTTTAAACATCACTATAATAAGAAAATAAAAAACTTGAAATAATAGTTTTTTTTTCTTAGTTTCGTGATTGGTAAATTTAAGATTTTACTAAGTAGGAGGGTAGTTCATACAACAATTAAAACTATAACGTAAATATGCAATAAATTTATTATTAACCTCCATTATAATGACAGTAACTACTTTACTTAATAGAAACTATCGTGTTTAACAATAAAATTTTTTATTAATTTTATTAATCGAATTTTTGGCTGACCATACAGTTTTTTCGAGTATAGTCAAATACCTATCATCGGTGGTCTTGTATGAATGATTAGCCAAAAATTTAATTAATTAAAATAATAGAAATTTTGTTTTTGCAATTCACTATAGTTCGAAACCTCTCTATAAAAATAGCTTATAAATATGTTTGTGTTCTTACAAGAAGCAAAGTATGTGTATAGTTTTGTAAAACTTCTGTATATTTCAATAAATAAATTCCAACTTAAACAGCATAAAAGTGTAAATATAAATGAATAAAAACTAATTTTATTTGACTTTTTTTTTTAATTTATTGAACATAGCTCAACTTCGCTTAGTTGACACATCATAACACTTATCCAAAGAAGATAAAGAACAGAAATAGAGTTATTAGAAAAATTGTATATAAAATTTTTTAGATTATTCAAATAATATTCAAAATTTTGTGTAATGAGGTGAAAAAATCACGCTGTACAAAAACAAAAAGCTTAATGCTCGTGATAATTTTCCCCACCCGGTTCTTACTCACCATTATATTAGCTTTCTGAGAAATTTCGCTGTTTACCTTCAGAATTTTATATTCGTTTTCTGATTATTATTATAAAAACGAGTTGAAGTCCCTGTAAGGAATTACTGACTCCACAAATGGGATATTTGTACAAAAGGATTGATTCATAGGATCAATTTATTTATATTTTATATTTAATAAATTAGTTCCTTTATATTTAAATATTTTTAAATGTAGAGGCGGTCTTTTTAATCTGAATGGGAGAGAATTTAATACATCTGAAAGTGATTGTTCTTTGTGTAATCGTCATGAAATAAAAAATATATGTCATATTATTGGTGTATGTCTAATTTTCAGAGAACATAGACGTATTTTTTTTGATAAAGCATTTCTGTCTGAAGAAGAAGTGAAAGTCTTATTAAACGGTAGCAAAATTTATATACTTATTATCAATTTAGATTTTAAGTAAAATTCTATAATTTTTTATAAGTGCTGTATTTTTTTTGAATCAATAAATAATAATAACTAATTATAACTAATTATGAAGTAATTATAAATATTCTTAATATAGTAATAGTGTTTTGTATATATTAACTTAATTCAAAATTGTACTTTTATAAAATTCTATTTTTCTTAAATAACATATTTTGGCGGTTAGGTCTATCGGGGAATTGAACACCTAAAACTCGGTAACATGCCAGCAAGCATACTTCTTAAGCGGTGCGGAAAATGCTTATATAGTCTGTAGACTTCTGACACTACGGACTTCACGCGATGAAATTGATACCATTTTTCACAATGTTTTTATTAATTAATGAATTTATTGAATTTCATATAAAAAAAAAATTTATTAATATTTATCGTTTTAAAACAGAATATTGGATTAATGTAACATAAACCTCGAAATATATGTATACGTTCTAATTTCTCTAACACTCATTATAATTATATTAATATATACAATGGATTTCCAATAATAATTATATATCATATACTATTTCTTCTAATTGGAAGAAATGGCTACATGCTGATATGCAACCACATTTGGGTTATAAGGCATAATTGACGATTCTGGTGTGGTGAATAAATATGAGAGATTTTTTTGGCGATATTACACAAAGAGGCACAAAGAGTTACAGTTTCTCTTCTTTATTTTCTTTGTTTATCCATGCAATTTATTTCGATAATTGCAGGCAAAACTATGTATTTATACATAACGTTACGTCATTAAATAATCAGAAGAGTTTGCTTGAAATGTATAATATTATTTCTAAAAATTTTAAATATATTTAAACACTTTAACTTGGTATTTACTTTCAAAATATTTAACATAGCTTAACTTCATTTTGTTGGCATCTATCAATACACACCTTTGCAATGACATTTGACAATTGTAAGCAAAAGTTGTGCATAGCGTCGCTTGGTTGCTTTATTATGTGTTAGCTACTTTAACATTGTTTCCAAAAAACTTTAATAAAATATTTATACCGCACAATAAATATAATATAACACTCTAATATAATTATAATAACGAAGAATACGAGACAGCAAATAACAGTTCAACTCGTTCATCAAACAATAACATGCAGAAGTCGGAAGAACCAACTGCAACCGCTAGCTTAGTAACTAAGAAGAAAACTCGCAAAACAGAAAAAGCAGCAAATGATAAATCTTCGGATCAAAATATGGTAAACGAGGCGAACGCAGAATATATGGATGATAAAGTTGAAGAAGAAGCCGGCGCTGGCCAAAAGCCTAAGGGACATACTAGATCAACTCGTTCATCAAGTTCAGCCAACAACAAGCGTAAGTCCGAAGAACTAATTACAAGTAGCGGAGGATTAGTAATTAAAAAGAAACCTCGTAGAATTAATAAATCTTCGGATCCAAATAAGGTGAACGCGGTGAACGCAGAATATGTGGCAAAGGAGGTTAAAGAAGAAGCCGACGCTGGGAAAAAAACCAAAGCATATACAAGATCAACTCGTTCATCAAATTCGGCCAACAACAAGCGTAAGTCGGAAGAACTAAGTAAAAGTCGCACTACTTCAGTAACTAACAAAAAAACTCGTAAAGATAAAGAAATAGCTAAATCTTCAGAACAAAATAAGTTATATGGCTTTGACAAAGGCTTAGTTGCTGAAAAAATTCTTGGTGCATCGACCTCTAATGGTTTACTTGAATTCCTTATTCAATTTAGAGGAGTTCAGCAGCCAGAAATGATTCCCGCATCAGTGGTTAATTTAAAAATACCACAAATGGTTATTAAATTTTATGAGCAACACATTGTGTTGTATTCGGATAACGAACCTAACTAAAAATAAATACTTCAGCACATACAGGTATATTGTTTTTGATGTTATAATTTTTATTTTTGTTAACAAATTATTTTTGTTTTTAAGGATTATTTTGTCATCAAAATAATGTAAAAATTAACATTACAATATCTTTTATAATTCTAAATAATTCTTAAAGATTTGTAATTATTTTTTTGTATGTGCTATTTTAAAAATAAAAATCAACATAATAAACATTCTTAAAATCATTTATTAGTGTATTATTTTACAGTTCTTGTTTTATATCCAGCTGAGTCTTGATATATTTATTTTAGATAAGATTAATAGAATTAATTGAATAGAACTTCATTAAGAATAAAGCACCGAAAACCATTCAATCATTATTGCAAGTTGAATTGGTAAAATAAAAAATTAACATAGCTAGATATATATTAAAACTATATCAATCTGCATTCTTTGTGAAGGAATATACAGTCAACTAAACAAACAACAAACAGAAGCTAGTAAAACTTCCAGGTTTTAAAATTTCCCTCTCCATACAATAATTTGGAGACGGAAATTGTTGCTATTCTAAAAATTAATTATCTCGGCCGTATTATGAGGTATCCAACGAGAACAAATCTTTCTGACGGATAAATGTATATATAAAATTGAACGTATGCTGATAATACTAAAGGCCCTCTTATCTTTCGATATGTTATATGTTAATTTATCTGGCAATACTTAGTGTTATCTTAGTGCTATTAGTTATATGTTAGTGTTATTATTATCTATATATTAATATCAGCATCAAATAATTATCAATACATTATTATTTATTTATGTATATTGTGATACTTATATACAGGTATTTTATTTTTGTATCGAGGAATATTTTTTTTCTGTAATCACTTGCTCTCCAGCCTCAGTTATGAATTATAATACACTTATCTTTATTGGAGCTTTAACCAATTTTCGTGTTAATATGGTATGTTTTTATATTGAATTTGTATATAATTTATTTATTATATTTAGTTATATTGTTATAGTCCGTTAATTACCATTTATTTATATAGTTTATTTCTAAATTTCCAGAATTATTTATCTATTTACATGGTTAATTTTTATATTTCTATTCATTATTATTTCATTTATAATATTATTATTTTTTATTACCTTAATATTCCTATTGATACATATTCATATACTTTTATATTTCTTATTATTTAACTATATAGTCAGTTAACGTTTGGGAATAAACTAGGCCGTCACATAGATAACAGTCTATAGAGCTAAGTATTCGCCATTTTTTTGTGACGTATCTCTAGTAACTAGCCTTCACCAATTCAGGGTATTGTTATTAGGCAATACATCGTGAACATGATGGGTCCATAACCAAGAAAATGGATATAGGGCTATGACAGCGGCGAAGTTCCAGTTAGTAGATAACTGGAAGAGGTTTGGACATATGAATAATGTAATCTAATTTCCTCCATCTTCTCCAAGTGATATATATCTCAATTTTCTTAAAATACTTATGGTTTCAGAAAAGAGAAAAGGGAAGGCAGTATCTTACTCCATTACCCAGAAGGATACTACGTGTTGTTGTTTCATTAATAATTAGTCATTTTAAAGAAATAAGTAAACACTAATTTAAAATTAAATTTTACTTGAATAAAATTTATAAAAAATTGTAAATAAAAAGCTTTTAGATTTTATTTTCAAAAAGTACTTCAATTTCAAAATAACTATAAAAGTATAAAACTCTTAATTTAAAACTTAATAAACAAAAAAATAAAAAATAATTTAACGAAATGACTGACTAAAGTTTATCGAAATAAGCCAACTGCAAATGAGTGACATTTTGATGGAACACTTTGGAGAATACTTTGAGTTAACTTTGCACTAAATCGTAATTTCATCCAGTGCACTTGGATGCAGAGTAGTGTTCCACTTTTGCAGTAACTTGATTGCACAAGTTTAAGCATTAAAAATGATATCGTACTATATATAGTTACATGTATATGTGAGATAATTCAGGTCAAATGCTAGTTAAAGATAAAAAGTAGAAAACATCTTAAATTTCTGACACTTTCTTTTTTTGAGTGAAATGACATGGCAGTGCTTAATATATAACACACGTGGGGACACAAACTGTCTACCGCATGGAAATGTAATATTTTAGTCGAGCAATAAAACAAAATACATGCAAATTTGCATATCTGACTATGTTGGGAAGACACACAGTTTCACTGATTATAAGTTCACCTTACTTTGTTAACACGCAGCTACTGCTTGGCTAAAAAATATTAACCAACTTGTATGCAGAAATATTTTCCTCTCGTCCGCAGTAGAGTTTTCCATAAGCTCATCAACTGGAAATTTCATACCTGATACATGTTGTATTCTATGCTACAATGTACTGCTAAACGTATACTTCCGGCAGTTAGTTTCAGCTGAGTTACCGTTTAATTTCCGACGGAAGTTTTTAAGCATCTTTTGTGAGTGACATTATCACCATTTTACTTATTTTCGTTCCCTTCACATTTTATTCACGTATGAGTAACTTTATGAATACTTGAAATTCTTTATTTTTGTTCAAAATTGTAGGTGAAAGCATTATATTTCATTTCTACTAAATATTATGAAAATTATGTAGTCATTACTTAATGCTAGTAATTACTGAGCAACTGAAAGTGTTATACAGTTGGTTTTGTTTTTTTTTTTTTTTATATTTTTCTTCTGCAACAGTTGTTGCCAACACACCAGCAACTTGACTGAGTAACTTTAATCAAAGTATTTGCAATGAAATGCTTTAGAAATACTTTCGTTTCCACATTTCTTCAAATAGTATTAATAATAAAAAAGCCTAAAAATAATAAGAATTTTTACTCTCATTCTTTTAAAGTGCAAGTAAACATTTTTGTGCAAAATAATAATTAAAATGATTAAAAAACAAGTTTCACTTCAATGTAATATTTTAAGCTATTTGAATAGATCGGGCAAAACATCTATAGCAGTTCTTTTATGCTGTTTAACATTTGTACAACAAAATGATTTTTATAGTCATCATCGTTACTATTCCTGGTATAACAATTCTTGAAGAATCAAAGCTAGTCAAACAATAGCCTCCCATTGCTTTTGATTTTTTATTTTATGTAATGCATATTCTGTGAATATTCACCTTCTATTCACCTTCTATGTGGTCATGTTTTTCTCTTATTCCCCATCAAGTTGTTGGTGGGGTTTTCTTTATCAGCTTATAAAGTCTATTCTCCGAAGATCGTCATTAGTATGTATTGAACTGCTTTATCGTCATACTTTTTTTCTTATAGTTAAAAAGCGCATAAAGTGAGAGTAGAAATCTTACTTTGTATTAAATTTTTTGACAGCATTACAATATGAACATATGTTGACCCATTGCAATTTTTTTTATTACAATATATATAATTTAATAATGATATATTCAGTTATTAATTGTTATAACAGATTAATTAAATTATTATTTGCATTGCAACGTTTTCTCTCACAAGCACAAAGATTTTAGGTATGATTTTCTTTTTATAAACAAAGAGAAGAATTGCAAAGAATTGTCCAGAAAGCATTCGATTTAAGAATATACATCCCACACTTCAATGGCAATAATTAGATTTGATAAAAAAAAAACAAACAGAAGTACATATATTAAATTGAAATCTATTTAGTAAAATACGTAAAAATAAAATGTAAAAACGCTAGTATATATTCGCATAGACTGGCAGTCTTTATAGCTTTTATAATTGCCTTGTTATCTTTTTTATCCCTTAAATACTGGAGCAATAAATCAAAGTTGGTATAAGGTTAAAAGATTTTCACATCAGTTGGTTATTAAGATTAAAGTGATACTCATAATAGAAATAATTACAAAGTGCCTCAACTTTTTTAATAAGATCCGAACCTGTTTCTAGGACATCCACTTGCAGGGAACATTAGTAATTAAACATGTTGAATATAAACTTCTAGAGAAAGGCTGGATTTAATCTAAAAACAATGCAAACAGCTCATCCGAGTCAATAATAAAGATACTGCTGGTCTAAATAGATCTGTAAAAATGTAAACTGCGTTATTTTAAAGAATTAAATGAAATTAATTATGTAGGAATATAAGTGGTTTTCTTGTACCCACTCTCATTTCAATTCTCCCTCGCTGTTCCTCATCCACTGCTTTTGAATTCCTCGGAGTGTTGCTAACACTACCTTATCTTACTGGTGCTGCCATCTTAAACTCACAGATTTTAACTCAGCTTAATTAAGTAGTTTTTAACTGGATAAGTTGCTGTTAACTACCACCTTTTTGACATTAAGAGTTTTTTAGGAGTCGATCTTTTCTGCCAGTACCTTCATTGAATCGAGAAATGAATTAAGAAATACTGTTAGGTATGTCAGTAACCTTAATTTGTGCAGGTGAGGTTAGGATATCCTCTTCAAAGATAACAAAATAGGTCCCATCACTTATTATGATTTTATTTCGGCAATGTGAATTTCGTTTCCTCTAAGAGAATTATTTAACATGAGGAAAACGGATAACATAAGAACATGAGAAATTTTGGAATTTAATAATTTCCTCATTTACTTATTTACTTACTTAGATGGCCATTATAGACATGATCCGTCCTTGCCGGCGTCGAGTAGCCTACTCCAGTCTACCTGATTAATTGCTTACGCTCCCCAGTTGGCAGTACCGAGCGCCCCTAATTTCCTCACTATTGTTGTTCTTTTTATTCAAAACAACTCTCTTGTCATAGGATATTATATTTTTTGTAAACATATGTAAACATATTAATTATTGTCTAAGCCATCGTAGCTAAGTAATAAAATTGCATATTATATAGGCTAAGCTTTTTAGTCTACATTTTTTTGGTAGACATTTAACATAATTTTTTCTTCAGCTTATATAAAAGAAAACCCTGCTTTAGTTTGCTATGTACACTTTTGTCTTCAAAACAAATTTTATATAAAGTAACTGTAATAATTATAGGTAGTTATGCCATAAAGAGGTTTTTC